CTTTTTTTGCCCACCTACATGTACCGAACAATCCAATGTACCCTTGGAACCAATGTACCCTAAGAACTCGATGTACCCTTTTTCGATGTACCCTTGGATACTGGGCCATTTTTAACCGATCCCGCCGTCGACGATTACGAGGACTATATTCCATCCGTTTGTTCATTCGGCTTTCTTCTACTTGGATGTCTCGGTTTTAACGCTCGCAACTAAGTTTTACAACATTACATTTTTTTATAGCGTGCGGAACCGATATTGATTTTCAGCTCGATCAAAGTTGGACCTCCAATACGGCCGACTTCGGAGAATCACAATGCACAACATGAAACATATAAAAAATATTAGGATTTTATATGTTTGAAATGGAATAGGTAAAGTTTGTGGTATTTGACGAATGAATAAAAACATAAAAGAGCAAAAAAATATATAACCAAAAAAAAAAGCAATTGTTATTATTTTTTCAAGAAAACTTGATTGAAAAGGATGATTGATAGTAAGAAGAACGAAATTGTGTAGTATCCGAAAATATACAAACAAATGAAATTGATGATGATGATTATGAAGAAGATGATGATATCGTTGGTGTTTAGTTCCTTTTGAGATTGCCGACAATGTGACTCTTAATTGTGCAATTTACTTCTTTTTGTAGAAGAATGCGTAGCAAGCCTTGGCCGTCCACTTGTTATTAGTTACATAGGCTTTAAGCAATTTTGGAATTTTGGAATATTTGGCCGATGGCCAAAATTACAAAAATTTAGGATTTTGGAATATTTGGCCGACGGCCAAAAAGGAAAAATTTTGGAATTTTGGAATATTTGGCCGACGTCATGATTATACTCATTTTGAGAAACTCAAACATGTTTGAAATTCGGTTCTAGCTCAAAAACTAACTGAGATACGGTAGTTTCAATTTTGGGATAAAAAATAACTGAAATTTTGTAAGAGCTGTAACTCGGCTTATTTTCAGCCAAAATTTTTAAAATTTATCTTTTCGGATTTTTTGCGTTAAGAGCTTCAAAATGAGCTTAAACACGGCTCGATTTGGTTAACTGCGAAAAATGACATTTTTTGGGTCCCACCCCGAAAAATGAAAATTATCAAATATCATAAAAACTAGTCATGTTTAGGCTTATTTCAAAACTCATAACACAAGAAATCCAAAAATATTGTTTTCATAAATTTTGGCTGAAAATGAGCCTAGTTACAGCTATTTCAAGATTTCCGTTATTTTTCATCCCAAAATTGAAACTACCGTATCTTGGCTGGTTTTTGAGATAGAACCAAATTTCAGACATATTCGAGTTTCTCTTGTTTTCAGCTTCGAAATGAGTATAATCATGACAAGGTTGCGGGACATTTGAAAATTTGGAGTTTTTGGGTCCCACCACGAAAAATGAAATTTTTCAACTTTATTCAAATCTAGTCAAGTTTAGGCTCATTTTGAAGCTCTGACCGAGATAAATTCGAAAATGTCAATTTTAAGAGTCTAGGCTGAAAATGAGCAGAGTTACAGCTCATATAAGATTTCAGTAATTTTTTGCCTCAAAATTAAAACTACCGTATCTCGGTCAGTTTTCGAGCTAGAATCAAATTTCAAACATATTCGCACTTCTCTTGTTTTTAGCTTCGAAATGAGTATAATCATGATCTACTTTCCTGAAATTCTAATTTTCCATGGACCTTATGCGCCTTTAAAGTCGAAAAATCAAAGTGGGCGGAGCCTAGTCGTGTTTAGGCTCATTTCACAGCTCTAATCGCGATAAATCCGAAAAGGTAAAATTTAAAAGTCTTGGGTGAAAATGTGCCGAGTTACAGCTATTTCAAGTTTTCCGTTATTTTTCATCCCAAAATTGAAACTACCGTATCTCGGTCAGTTTTTGAGCTAGAACCAAATTTTGAACATATTCGCGCTTCTCTTGTTTAGAGCTTCAAAATGAGTATAATCATGACCTACTTTCCATGAAATTTCAATTTTCCATGGACCCCATGCGCCTTTAAAGTCGCAAAAATCTGTGCCTGCGTCTCCACCCTATTTATTGTGTTTTGTTTCGAATAAATCGATAATATAAAGTCTTCATTTTTTTTCTGTTTGAAAACAAATAAAACACAATGAAATGTACAACTACAGAAATCGATTGAGATCATTGGGGGCGGAGCTTAGAGATTAAGAGCATTTCGAGCCAAAAATACCCCAAAAAATACATGAAAAATCGCATTTTTTCGCACAAAAAAGTCCCAAAAAAATCATTCAATCATCACATTCCTCTTGGCACTCATCACAATTTTCGACGCTTCCCGCAGTCCTGATAGATATGCTCCGGCCATGGTTTGCGGCTCCGCTGCGATCGTGTGCTCACCAGCGAAATGGATACGGTCGTCGACGGTTTCCTGGAGACAAAAATTGGCGGGTTTTTGGGGGGAGTGTAAAATGGCCGAAAATAGGCCTAAAATTGCTCAAAAATGATTGAAAATGCCTTAAAAATGGCCCAGGGACCCGTTTCAACCCATTTCCCGGTCATTTTGAGCCAGTTTAGGCCTATTTTCAGCCAATTTCAGCCAATTTTGTACAGTTTTACGCCCATCTTAAATCATTTAGCACCAATTTAAGGCTATTTCGGACCATTTTCAGACCATTTTAGCCCTCTCATACACCAATTTCAGATCGTTTTGGACTATTTTCAGCACATTTTTAATCACTTTGATCATTTTTTGCCAATTTTTGACCATTTCGAATCAATTTTGGCCCAATCCTGGCTCATTTGAGGGTATTTTGCGACCATTTTCAGCCCATTTAGTTCCAAAAACACCCCCGAAAATCGTCTAAAATAGGCCAGAATAGAAAAAAATCGCGGAATTCCGACTATTTTAAACTATTTGAGCTACTTTTCGACCATCTTTCGATTATATAGGGGATCATTTTGGACCATAGTAATGATTTCGGCGGTTTTCAGGCCATTTTCAGGCCATTTTCAGGCCATTTTCAAGCCATTTTCAAGCAATTTCAGCCGATTTTTTTAGACCTATTTTAAACTATTTCTAGCCAAACTTGAACAATTTTGTGGACCTTTTGGGCCTATTTTAGCCAATTTTGGGCCGATTTTTGGACCATTTTAAGCGATTTTCCCGCCAGTTTTGGACAATTTTCAGTAATTTTTGTATCATTTAAAACCATTCGGGGACCAGTTTTGGATCGAATTTTGGGACCATTTCAGGATCATTTTCAACCGATTTGGCCTCTATTCTAGACCATCTTAGGCCATTTTCAGTCCAGTTTAGATCCAAAAATAGCATGAAAATCGTCGCGGAAATTGCGGATTTTGTTGACTTTGGGGCCATTTTTAGGCCTATTTTTAGGACCATTTTAGACTATTTTAGACTATTTGAGGACTATTGTAAGAACCTATTTTTGCCTATTTTGGACTGTTTCTGACGATTTTTAGCCATTTCCAGCTCATTTTCAGCCCCATTTCTCACCTTCAATCGATTATACGTCGCATCACCGTCCGACCCAAACGGCACAAACGTATACGACATTCCAATGTGCGGATCGGCACCCCAATGCGAACACATCTGTGCCAACGGATGAATTTCCGCGTTTGGGAACATTTTCCGAAGGGTTTCCACAAATTTCTCGGCGATTTGTTCGTCGGACAGCTCGTTCACAATATTTACATGTTCGGCCGTCACATAGGACATCAAAACGTACACTTCCTCGCCGCACGGGTCCTGGAAATACGAAATTCGAAGTTTTGGTGCCACTTTTAGTGAAATTTAGAGCATTTTTGAGCCATTTTGAGCCAAAGAAGTGCCTAAAATGGCCTCAGGAGGCCTAAGAAGGGTCCTTCATTTTTTGAACGTTTTGGGACCGTTTTTTCGTGAAAATTGGAGCCATTTTGAGCCTAAAAAAGCCTAAAAAACAGCCTCCGGAGGCCTTAATGTTGAAGTTAAGAGGCCTAAGAAAGGCCTAAATTGGATAGGTTAATTCAGGCACGTTTAGGCCAGTTTAGGCACTTTTAAGACCAGTTTAGGTTCATTCAAGCTCTTTGAAGGCCGATTTAGGTCAAGTTAGGCCAGTTTAGGCACTATCTAGGTCAATTTATGCTCTTTTAGGCACTTTTAAGGCCCTGCTAGACTAATATAAGCCAGTTTTAGTAAGAAATCGAGCTTTTTTTGGAGCATTTTGAGCCTGAAAAATGCCTAAATTGGCATTGAAAGGCCTAAGAAGGGCCTAAATTGGCTAGAGAAATTCAGGCAGTTTTTAGGCAAGTTTAGGTCCATTCAAGCTCTTTGAAGGCCGATTTAGGTCAATTTAAGCCTACTAAGCCAGGTTTTAAGGTCAATTTATGCTCTTTTAGGCACTTTTAAGGCCCTTCTAGACCAATATAAGCCATTTTTAGTAAGAAACCGAGCTTTTTTGGAGCATTTTAAGCCTAAAAAAGCCTAAAACAGGGCCTAGACTGGGCAGAGCAATTCAGGCAATTTTAAGGTCAGTTTAGGGGTTCAAGCTCTTCGAAGCTTGGTTTAGGGCAATTTAGGCACTATTAAGGACAATTTAGGCCTATCTCAGGAAATTTCAGGTCTTTTAAGGCACTTTTAAGGCCCTTTGCAACTAATCTAAGCCATTTTTAGTGAAAATTGGAGTTTTTGGGACTAAAAATCGAGCTTTGTTGAAGCATTTTGAACCATTTTAAGTTTTAAAAGTGCCTGAAACAGCCTAAAATCGCCTCGGAGTCCTGAATTAGTTTTGAAAGGCCTAAGAAGGGCCACTTTTAAGGTCCTTTTCGACCAATTTCCGCCATTTCTTAGTAAATATCGAGCTTTTTTGAAGCATTTTGAGCATGAAAAGTGCCTTGGACAGCATGAAAAGTGCCTAAATTGATATTGAAAGGCCTCAAAAAGGCCTAAATTGGATAGGTACTATCTAGGTCAATTTGAGTGCTTTTAAGGCTTTCTAAGGCCATTCTAGACCAATTTAAGCCATTTTTAGTGAATTGTCGAGAGCTTTTTTGGAGCATTTTTAGCCTAAAAAGCCTAAAACAGCCTCAGGAGGCCTAAACTGAAAGTGAAAGGCCTAAGTAGGGCCTAGACTGGGTAGAGCAAGGCAATTTTAAGGCCAGTTTAGGGGTTCAAGCTATTTGAAGTCTGGATTAGGTCAATTTAGGCACTATTAAGGACAAGTTAGGCCCATCTCAGGACATTTCAGGTCTTTTGAGGCACTTTTAAGGCCCTTTTCGACCAAATTCAGCCATTTTTAGTAAAAAATTGAGCTTTTTTGAAGCATTTTGAGCCTGAAAAGCGCCTTGGACAGCATGAAAAGTGCCTAAAAGTCGAGCTTTTTTGGAGCATTTTTAGCCTAAAAAAGCCTAAAACAGCCTCAGGAGGGCCTAAATTGGCTAGGCCATTTTAGGTTTTTTAGGCCTATTAAGGCCCTTTTAAGGCCCATCTAGACCAATTTAAGCCCGATTTTTTCCAATTTTCCCACTCACTTTTCCCGAAAAATCATAAAAAATATTGAAAAGAGATCGATCGGATTTCGAATCGGGCACTTTTCCAAAATATTCGGTTCGCTTCCCATCCGCCGCATCTACCGTACTCCAGAATCGTCGATCAAATTTCACGGCCATTTTCTCGATGAGTCCGGCGCCAAGGGAATCTATGGCGTTTCGTTTTTCAGCTGGCAGACGGGGGTTGAACATTTGCGGATTTTTCTGAAAAATTAAACATGAGCAATCGGGGGTCAATTTCAGGCATTTTCGGCCAATTTTCAGAGGATTTCAGGCCTCATTTTTCCGCTATTTCAGGTCCATTTTAGGTCCTTTTCAGGCATTTTCAGGCCGATTTCAGGCCGATTTCTAGTCTCATTTGAGCCGATTTGGGGGCGATTTTAAGCATATTTCAATGCAAAAATCAGCTGAAAATGGTCTAAAATTGACTGGAAATGACTGAAACTGGGTCAAAATTGGTTGAAATTTCTTAATTTAAGAAAATTAGGCTATTTCAGGCCTCTTTTAGGCAGTTTACGATCATTTCTAGGCCATTCTAGACCGATTTTTTTTTCTGATTTAGGGCTATTTTCAGCCATTTCTGGTCCATTTTAGGACATTCTAGACCGATTTCAGCTCATTTAGAAGCGATTTTGAGCTGTTTTCGACAATTTTAGACGATTCTAGCCGATTTTTGACCAATTTGAATCATTTATAATAATTTTTAAACCGTTTCCAGTCAATCTTAGGCCCTTTCCAGGCCATTTTGGACCATTTTCAGACTGTTATAAGCCATTCTAGCTATTTTTCCGTCGATTTGGACCTATTTTTCGTCAATTTCAAGAAAATTTTGACTATTTCAAGCCATTTTCAGCTATTTTCAGCACGTTTTAAGCCATTTTCAGCAAATTTTGACCATTTTTGAGGCATTTTAAAGGTCTTTCTAGACCATTTTTAGCCATTTTCAGGTCGTTAGAACCCTTTTTTTTTGGACCAAATTAGGCTTTTTTAGGCCTAATTTAGGCTCTGAAATCGGTCTAAAACGGTAGAAAATGGCCTAAATCGTGTGTCTAGGCCAAGTTTAGCCAATTTTAGGTGAAAATATGCTCAAAATGGGCTCAAATTAGCTTAGGATGGGCTTAAACTAGTCAAAAATGACTGAAATTCCATTTAACACAAGTCAGGCTATTTCAGGCTCATTTTAGGCCTTTCAGGCTGCTATTTAAGGTCATTCTAGACCAAGTTGAGCGAATTTAGAGCAATTTTTAATGCCTTTTCCGCCAATTTTGGACCATTTTCAGCCATTTTCAGCGTCTACCTTCAACACGGCCAACGACGTCGTCACCACCACCCGATCAAACTCCTGCTCCTCTCCACTCTCCAACTGAATCCTCACTCTTCTCTCCCCCCGCCAATCAATACATTTGACCGGTGAATTCAGACGAATCTCCAGTCCACGTTGCAAGTAATCAACAATCCGCTGTGCTCCATCGGTCACAACTGCATGCTCGCCGGCGAAATTCCCGAATTTCTCGTTGTGATCGTACTCTTTGGCGGAGAGATTCGCCACTGCCGTCCCACACGAAAATTCCAAATTTCCCAAATGAAAATCGAGAAGCTTCTCGAAATCTCGAGTGTACAAATGATCGAGTTCCGCCGCTGAGAGTAGGCCAGAGCTCATTTTTGAGAACATTTCTGGAAAATTTTGCTCGTTTTTCAGTGATTTTCAGCGTACGAAACTTTGATTTTTGAATTCATCGCGCTGAGAGCTTCAAAATGAGCCCCCACACGACTAGTCTAGCTCACTTTCGAATTTTGACCTACGCGTTGCGGTCGCGTCGCGGTTGGTAGGTCAATTTTCAAACTTAAGCTAGACTAGTCGTGTTTGGGCTCATTTCGAAGCGCTCGGCATGGCAATTAAGAATC